AAAACAGTTCTGGAAAAGAGCAGAGACTGAGGAGTCACTTTACCTGACTTCAAACGTCCTATGAAGTTACAGGAGTCAGGACAACGTGGTATTGCCATGGGGATGGAGATGCTGAACAATGGGATAGAACAAAAAGTCCATAAATAAACACTTACATTTATGGCCAATTGATTTTTGCCAAAGGTGCTTTAAAAATTCAAAGAGGAAAGGATCCGTATGCAAACAAATAAATAAACAACCCTTACCTCAACACATATACACAAATTAACTCAGAATGGATCAAAGACCTAAAAGTAAGTGTTAAACCTATAAAACTTCTAGAAGAAAACAGGAGAAAATCATTGTGACCTTGAGTCAGGCAAAGATTTCTTGGCCATGACACCAAAGCATGAACCATAAGAGAATAAATCGATAAATTGGACTCATTAAAGTTAAAAACTTTTGCCCTGCCAAAAGCATTGTTAAGAAGATCAAAATAGGGGCTGGCCCTGTGGCTGAGTGGTTAAGTTCGCACGCTCCACTGCAGGCGGCCCAGTGTTTTGTTGGTTCGAATCCTGGGCGTGGACATGGCACTGTTCATCAGACCACGCTGAGGCAGAGTCCCACATGCCACAACTAGAAGGACCCACAAAGAAGAATATACAACTATGTACCAGGGGGCTTAGGGGAGAAAAAGGAAAAAATAAAATCTTTTTTTTTTTAAAAAAAAGAAGAAGATCAAAATATAAGCTACAGATTGGAGAAAATATTTGCAAATCACAAATCTGACTTGTACCCAGAATCTATAAAAAACTCTTGAAACTCAACAGTAATGAAAAAAGACGCAATTTAAAAACTGGCAAAAGAACGGGCACTTCACCAAAAAGGATATATAGGTGGCAGATCCGCATGTGAAAAGACGTTAAACATCATTAGCCGTTAGGAAAATGCACACTCAAACCACGGTGAGATATCACGCTTGTTAGAAGAACTAAAATAAAAAATCTGACAAAACTAAATGCTGGCGAGAATGTGGAGAAAGTAGATCTCTCACACATTCCTGGTGGGAAGATAAAACGGCGCAGCCACTCTGGAAAGTAGTTTGACAGTTTCCTGTAAAACTAAACTTACATTTATCATACAATCCAGCAGTCGTGCTCCTGAGCATTTATCCCAGAGACACGAAAACCTATGTTCACACAAAAACCTGTATAGGAATGTTCATTGTAGCAATATTTTGTACTAACCAAAAACTGGAAACAATCTGAACGTCGTCCAATTGGAGAATGGGTAAACGAACTGTGGTGTAGCCAAACCGTGGAATATTACTCAGCAATAAAAAGAACGCAGTACTGACATACACGAAACAACTTGCATGGATCTCAAGGACACTAAGTGAAAAACATCAGTCTCTAAAGGTTTCATGGTTTATGATTCCATGTGTATAACATTCTTGAAATGACAAGATTATAGAGATGGAGAACCGATCAGCGGCTGCCAGGGCTTAGGGACGGTGGAATGGAGTTTCTTCGTATCGACGGGACACGTCTGTGTCTTGATTACGGTGGAGGTCACATGCATCTATACTTGTGATAAAATTGCATAGAGCTATGCACAGCACACACACACACCTGAGTCCACGTAAAAATTGGTGAAATCTGAATAAAGGCTGTAGTCTAGTTAATGGTGTTGTGCCAATGTCAACTTCCTTTTTCATATTGCACCATAACGATTGTGTTGGTAATTTTTTGATTATATACATTTAGCAAAACTCGCAGAACCATACACTTAAATTGGTGGTTTTTATTGTATGTAAGTTATACCTGAGAAAGTTAATTTTAAAATATAACATAATAAATACTACAGTTACCTAAAAACAGAGGAAGGGAGGGTGAGAGGAAACAACTGGAGGTAACAGAAACTATACAAGGTGAAGAAAACTGAAATACACACACACAACACTGTCATTCATATCCTCAGAGAGTTAAGAAGATATTCTTTCCACACAGTAAAAGTAGGACGTGAAAAAGAGAACTCATGAATTAAAGCCATGACCGCAGATTTGAAAACCACAAGAGAAGAGGTGGAAGGTTTAAGTTGAAGAAATCTCCTGGAAATTAGAACAAAAAGAGGAAGAAATGGAAAATAAGAGGAGGGATAAGATGAGAGGACCCATCTGTGAGATGCGACATCTGAACGAGGGAAGTTCCAGCGGGGGATGCAGGAAACGGAGGGGAGAGAATCAAAAACACTTCAGAATTCTCAGAGCCAAAGGGCACGTGTTTCAAGATTGAAAGAGCCACTAGATGCCCAGTGCCACGTGCGCACTGGGAAAGTCAGAACTCTGGGGACAAAGAAGATTCTAAAATCTTCCAAACAGCATTGGCTGCTAAGGGCTCATTGTTAAATTTGGGGATTTTGCAGCTGGCCGTTAAACCACTGGTAGCCTGAATTCAGCCCTGGTAGCAAGATTTGCACCATATTTACATCATGGGGAGGGGTGGGGGGGGCTGGCTTATCAGCATATTACTAAATAGTTAAGTAAATTACAGTATATCATTTATGCAGCCACTAATAATAACTATGAAGACTATGTGGAAACATAGAAAATGTTGATATGATTGTTATATAAGTAGACAAATACACTATAGGTACAATTATGTAAAATATATTCACATGGACAGAGGCCAAAGGAAATACACACAGGAAGAAAGTTATTTGGTTATAATGATGACATGAGTGTCTAAAATTTTATTTTAAATTATCCTTATTATTTCCATAATTTAGGATTAAAAACCTTTGTGCACCTCCCCGCAAATACCTACAGAAAAGCGTCCAAACTTGCCTGATGAAAATCCTATAAGGGCTCCACATTACCTTAAGGCCTTATAGGAATCTAAACAGGAAATTTGAAAGTTGGCTCTGCCTGCCCGCCTCCATCTCCTGCAATTTCCCGCCACTCCCCAGCACTCTAGTCCTATCAGACCAGCCACCCTGCGAGGCCTTCCCTGGAGTCATCCTGAGAACGGACACTCCCCCCACCACGGGCCCTCCCTGCCCAGCATCTGGCAAGAGTCGCCCCCCTCAACTCCTCCTCTCCATGTGTGTCTCTACGGTCATGCTTATCAGTGGGCTGTAGTTATCGCTTGGCTCAGGAGTCTATTCTCGGGTGGAGACACGGTCGTCTTGGGGCTGGCCACACACAGTAGGCACTTTAAGCAATTGTTCAGTGTATGGGGAGACGGAGTAGGACAGCCACTGTCATGCCACCTCTTTCAGGAAGCCTTCCTGATTCCCACACACCACCCCCATTCCAGCGGAACTCAAGCTCTCCCTCTTCTCTGTTGTCCCAGCACTTTATGTGACCTTGGGTGACTGACCTATTCCCTTTATGCCTCAGTTTCCTCATCTGTAAAAGGGAGGCAAAAATGATACCTGTCTCAACAGGTTATCATGAGGATTAAATCAGGTTATGTTCGCAACACCCCGTGTCAAGCTCATGGAAAATACCCCATAAAAGGAAGCCATTGTGATGATTATTTTGACACTTGCATATGACATTGGTCCTACTATCTGTTAGACTGGAAACCCACTGTGGGCAGAGAACGTATCTTGTTCATCTTTGTATATTCCACAGCGCGTGGCATGCTGTCTGGCCTCAGTAGGTATTAACAAATCGTTCCTGAATGTGGACCAGCAAGCACAGGCAGAGGCCACACGCATGTGCATGTGTGTGCACACACTTAGGGGCACACGGGCACAGATACAGTTTTCTGCCCTGGTCTTGGCTGTCAGCGCTGACCGTCTCCTTCTTCTGGACGTGCAGGATTCTCCAGCTTGTCTCCATGACCTTCTCTCTCCTGGATTTCCACCTGGACCATCTCTCTCCTGGATTTTCTCTCTGGCAACTACCTCTCAGCCTCCTTCACGCCCCAGCCTCTGCCCCATGTGCCTTAAATCTCTGCGTTCCCCACAGCGCCAGCTCAGCCCTGCTCTTCTCGCTTCAGACACTGCTGAGTGACTTCGTCAAGACCACAGACACTGGAATAGTCACAAGCCTGGGTTTAGGCAGCCGGGCCCTCCGCCCTGACCTCCAGACCCGCAAGACCTGAGGGCCGGATGCTGCCCTCCTTACTTCACCTCCCTCCCAGGGCCAATCGCAAGCAGCCCGGCTTCAGCAGTCGCTCACATGTGTGACTTCCATCCTCCACCCTCCTTCCCGGCCCTATCGCCACTGAGTCAGCTCAGACCCCTGCACGGTTCACCTGGCCCCCGGTAGTCAGGCTCTCTAGCGTCCTGGCTGCTGCCACAGTAAACTCTCCGTCCAGTTTCCCGCTGAGATTCTGTCACTGTGATAAAAGGATGCGTACACAGGATGAAACAACTACAGCCAAATGTTAACTGTAGAATGTAAGTGGTGGGTATACGAGTGTTCGTTGCAATGCTTTCAACTTCTCTGCGCTTCATAATTTTCGTAAGATGTTGGGGAAAATATCTTCCAGTGGTTCCTTTGGGTTTTTGGATGAAACTCAGACTCCTTCGTGTAGAGCATAAGGCCCTTTATGATCCGGCCGCTGCCTCCCTCTTTAACTCCATCTGCCACCACTCAATGTCCCCTTCCCACAAACCATCTCAAGACACCTGGAGCCACCCAGGAGAGTCGTGGTATTTCATTCCTCTGTACCTGTGTACTTGCTGTTCCTGATTCCGGGAAGTCCCTTCCCTGTGTTCTCCAGGAACCCCCAAACTCCTGTTCATTCTTCAAACTCATCTCAAGGGATGCCTCCTCCAGGAAGCCTTTGCTGACCCCTGGACAGAAGCCCTCATCTGCTTCCCATAGGCTCTCCCATAGCTCAGCAGAGGTTTCTGGCACCAAGGGCTCACCTGGGACTGGCTTTGCAGATAAGCTGCAATGCTGGAAACCTGGCCTGAGGACCAGGCTCCAGTTGCCACCGTCTCTGAATCACAGCTCATCTCTAATTTCTGGCCTCAGAAGACGCATCCTCAGGCAGTTGCCCTGCGTTTGCAGCAAACACGCTCAGCCGGCTGAGCTGTCCTGAGGCTGGAACTGACGGTCGGCCCTGAGCCGGCTCCAGCCGCCCAGCCCTGGAGCCTGCCGGAGGGGGCCTGCCCCACTGGGGGTCGGGGCCCCCGAGGAAGAGGTCCAGGCCGGGTAGGGAAGAAGGCGGGGCCTGAGGCCGCGCAAGTCCGTGTCCCGGGCCGGGGACGGAAGTTACACAAGTACAATTAGTTTCAGTTTTGTTTCTCTTTCAGGAGCCCAGCAACAGCGGCGTCCAGACCTCCGCCCCCCAACTCCGGGTCCTGGCGCCCAAGGTCAGCTCAGGGTAGGTAAGGAGGGAGTCAGAGAGGGCAGCTGAACTGCAGGGAGTTGGGAAGGGAGGAGGGGGTGGGGGGAGAAGAGAGCAAGAGGAAGAGGAAGGGAGTGGGGGAGGGGGCAGAGGGGCCCGGAAGGCGGGAGGAGAGGAGAGGTTGGGAGGGGTACCCCCCTCACCCCACGGGGCCAGAGAGCTGAAGCTTCCCTGGGAAAGACCACCTCTCATTCTCTGAGCTCTCCCCCCAGCCCGGATTTTCCGGAAGTTTGGGGAAAATTGCCCCAAGAGTCTTCATCGAGTGTTTCACAGCCGCTGTGCTGGGAGCCGGGGTCTTCACAGATGAACCTCACCCGACTCCGACCCTTCAGAGGTTTCTAGGGAAACAGGAGGCCTCCTGTAGCAGGAAAGGCAAAAAGAAAGGGACTCCAGGAGATGAGGCAAAGCCACTGTGACCCCGAGGCCAAGCAGCTGGGAGAAAAGAGCAGGGCAGCCGCTTCCCCTCAGCCTTCCTTCTGCCGGCTCCAGAACCCACGGCCAGCAAAGTAGGGCAGGAAGGGGGGGGGGGCACCACGACCCGAGATGCTGCGCCCAGGGTCTAGAAGACAGGTGTAGGGGGCTGCAGGAAGTGGGGCCCCTTATACTGCCCCACCTGCCAGGAGTCAAGGTGACTGCCCACCTGGACCCCCTGCCGTGTCCTTTCTGCCCGCCCCCACCCAGCACCCCACTCCCAGCAGGCCCCCTGGGACCTACTCACATGGGGCTTGGACCCCACCTGTCACAAGGCCTGTCAACTGGGGGCACTGATCCTTGCTAGCTCTCTAAGGCCAAGGCTTCGTGGTCTTGTCGTTTCTCGCAGCACCTGACACACACAAGCACCTTTTATACGGTTGCTGACTGTATGCAAGGAGGAGGAAGGTGGTTCTTTAGCACAAGAGCAAGTGGCCAGAGGCCCCGGGAGACCAGAAGAAAATTCCTGGCCCTTCAGGTGAGACTCCAGACCTGGTGTGGCTTGAGGATGGGGGAGAGGCAGGAGGGCAGGCTGGAGCACTGTGGCGGTGCCCTCTGCCCTCTAATCCTGAGCCCTCGCTTGCAGCATGGTGTCCCAGGGGTCTGCGCCCTCCCTGCTGGAGGCCCTGAACAGCGACTTCCTGGCCTGTAAGATCTGCCTGGAGCAGCTGCGGGCTCCCAAAACGTTGCCCTGCCTGCACACCTACTGCCAGGACTGCCTGGCCCAGCTGGCGGAAGACGGCCACCTCCGATGCCCCGAGTGCCGTGAGACGGTGCCCGTGCCACCGGCCGGCGTGGCTGCCTTCAAGACCAACTTCTTTGTCAACGGGCTCCTGGATCTGGTGAGGGCCCGGGCCGGTGGAGACCTGCGTGCTGGGAAGCCAGCCTGTGCGCTGTGCCCCCTGATGGGTGGGGCCAGCGCCGGTGGGCCGGCCACTGCCCGGTGCCTGGACTGCGCTGACGACTTGTGCCAGGCCTGTGCCGACGGGCACCGCTGCACCCGGCAGACCCATACCCACCGAGTGGTGGACCTGGTGGGCTACAGGGCAGGGTGGTACGACGAGGAGGCCCGGGAGCGCCAGGCGGCCCAGTGTCCCCAGCACCCCGGGGAGGCCCTGCGCTTCCTGTGCCAGCCCTGCTCCCAGCTGCTGTGCCGGGAGTGCCGCCTGGACCCCCACCTGGACCACCCCTGCCTGCCCCTGGCCGAGGCTGTGCGTGCCCGGAGGCCAGGCCTTGAGGAGCTCCTGGCAGGCGTGGACAACAACCTGGCAGAGCTGGAGGCCAGCCGGATGGCGGAAAAGGAAGCCTTGGCCCGGCTGCGGGAGCAGGCAGCCAGGGTGGGGACACAGGTGGAGGAGGCAGCGGAGGCGGTCCTCCGGGCCCTTCTGGCCCAGAAGCAGGAGGTGCTTGGGCAGCTACGGGCCCACGTGGAGGCTGCTGAGGAGGCTGCTCGAGAGAGGCTGGGGGAGCTGGAGGGCCGAGAGCAGGTAGCCAGGGAGGCGGCTGCCTTCGCGCGTCGCGTGCTCAGCCTAGGTCGCGAGGCCGAGATACTCTCCCTGGAGGGGGCCATTGCTCAGAGGCTCCAGCAGCTGCAGGGGTGTCCCTGGATGCCTGGGCCCACCCGCTGCCTGCTGCCCCAGCTGGAGCTCCATCCTGGGCTCCTGGACAAGAACTGCCACCTGCTACGGCTCTCCTTTGAGGAACAGCAGTCCCAGAAGGATGGTGGGAAAGATGGAGCTGGAACCAAAGGATGTGACAAGACCCAGAGCTGGAGAGAGGATGGCACCCAGACAGAGAAACACGGTGGGATCCAGCCCCAGAGTAGGGATGGAGCCCAGACCCCAAAGGAGGACAGAGCCCAGACGCCCCAAGAAGATGGAGCCCAGACCCCAAAGGCAGAGATAGCCAAGACACCCCAAGAAGATGGAACCCAGACCCCAAAAGAGGCCAGAGCACAGACACCCCAAGAAGAAGGAGGAGCCCTGACCCCGAGGGGTGGCAGATCCAACAAGAAGAAGAAATTCAAAGGCAGGCTCAAGTCAGTTTCCCGGGAGCCCAGCCCAGCCCCTGGGCCACACCTGGAGGGCTCAGGCCTCCTCCCCAGGCCTATCTTTTCCTGCAGTTTCCCCACGCGAATGCCTGGAGACAAACGGTCTCCCCGGATCACTGGACTCTGTCCCTTTGGTCCCCGGGAGATCCTGGTGGCGGATGAGCAGAACAGGGCGCTGAAGCGTTTCTCCCTCAACGGAGACTACAAGGGCGCCGTGCCCGTCCCTGAGGGCTGCTCCCCGTGCAGCGTGGCTGCCCTGCAGGGCGCAGTTGCCTTCTCAGCCAGTGCGCGGCTCTACCTTATCAGCCCAGATGGTAAGGTGCAGTGGCGCCGGGCCCTGAGCCTCTCCCAGGCCAGCCACGCTGTGGCTGCGATGCCGAGCGGGGACCGGGTGGCCGTCAGCGTGTCAGGCCACGTGGAGGTGTACAACATGGAAGGCAGCCTGGCTACCCGGTTTATTCCTGGGGGCAAGGCCAACCGGGGCCTGCGGGCACTGGTGTTCCTGACCACCAGCCCGGAGGGCAATTTCGTGGGGTCAGATTGGCAGCAGAATAGCGTGGTGGTCTGTGATGGGCTGGGGCAGGTGGTCGGGGAGTACCGGGGGCCAGGCCTGCACGGCTGCCAGCCGGGCTCCGTGTCTGTGGACAAGAAGGGCTATATCTTCCTGACCCTTCGCGAGGTCAACAAGGTGGTGATCCTGGACCCAAAGGGGTCACTACTCGGCGACTTCCTGACGGCCTATCATGGCCTGGAAAAGCCCCGGGTGACCACCATGGTGGACGGCAGGTACCTGGTCGTGTCCCTCAGTAACGGGACCATCCACGTCTTTCGGGTCCGCTCTCCTGACAGTTAAAGGGCTGGGGCTGGGGTGGGACTGGGGTGGGACTGGGGCGGGAGGAGGGGGGCCGAACTCATCTTCCCGGAGGGCAGGGGTGGGCAGCTTTTCAGTGTGAAGTGCCAAACTCCTAACGCCTCTTCTCTTGTGCAAGAATAGGGACCAAGGGTGGTGGCGGGACCATAACTCTCAGAAGCAGAGGAGGAGGGGAAGGGGGGTGCTGGGAGTGAACCCCGTCTCTTGCTTTTTGTGGGTGACCACCGCCGCCACCGCTGCCATATAGTTCAGGTTTCTGAGATTTATAAGCTTGTCCTGTTTTGCATTCTTCAAAACCATTCCTGATGGAGTAGCCCGGGGGTCTTAGGAGGTGGGCAGAAGGAGTGCTCCGGCTGACGAAGGACTCAGGTTACGTCAGACAGGTGCCTTCTGGATGAGAGCTGGGAGCCCTGCTCCCTTCAGACGGGAGCAGGGACACACCAGGTCAGAAGAGGCCTGGGGCTACGAAATGGTGATGAATGGCATCTTCCATCAGCCACAGCCAGGAGCTAGAGGCTCCTCTGAGAGTGGCGTCCCCCACTGAAGCACAGGGTGGGCTTTGTGGGGGACCAAGGACAGACACCAGCTGAGGCCATGCGGTGTCCACCTCAGAGTCTGTGAAGAGAATGTTACTAGAAAACGACTTGGCAGGATTGGAGTTTAACCAACATGGCTCCGAGTGTAAGGGAAAGGGAGGCCTCTGGGCACCCCCTCCCCACTGTGAAGCCAGTCTGGAGCAAGACCTACACAGGATGTCAAATCACTTCTGTTTTGCAGTCTTTACACTTCCTGGAGTCTATTTTTAGTTTCCTCCTAGTTTTCCAGCCAGCAAAATTCCTTTTGAGAAATTTTGGCCTCCGTTTGGCTGAACTAAGGGATGAAGGAATTTTGGCCTTCTGTAGGCCACTGTTGCTGGGGGAAACGCCCTAGCCCTTCAGCCCAGGTGTGGGATTGGGGGCCAAGCCAGCAGGAAAACCTGAGAATTCAGTAGTAGGGCTGGGATGGGTGGAGGAGTGAAAACTGGAGGCAAAGATCCAGTCGGGGGTGAGCCAACCACTGGTCCTTTGCATAGGCTGAGGTAATGGTGGATGTGTTTACCCAGGGGCTGTCGAGAGAGGACCAAAGGGAATCTTAACGTAGCGATTGTGGACGATGGAGTGTTTGTGGGAACCAAAGGGATTTTGGACAAGTCCAGATGGAAAGTGCGGGGCATTAGGGATGAGGAAAAGAATACGCTTTTCTAGGGAGGTATTGCTTGTTTATTGAAGTGATAAGGGAGAGCATCCATGTCAAGTGGACAGATTTAATTACATAAAAATTTGAAATGTTTGCACAGCAGAGATTAGTGAAGATTAAAGGAAAACCTCTAAGATGAGAAAACTACATGGAATTGATCTGAGTAAGAGCTGAGTCTCCAGTGTGTGCAGTGACTAAGAGATCTACTTGGTCAAGGGACCAAATGGGCTGTACACCCAGAAGGAATGCTCTCAGGCCAGGACTAGTGAAATAAAAAATAAAATAAAGTCAACTGCTTGCATTGGTCAAAAATACATTTTAAGACTGTGTCATGGAGAATGAGACTCCTGGCACTATAAGATGATGCTTCCTGGAGTGCAAGTTGGTAATATTTGACAAGAGTGGAAAAAAAATGACTGTAAGACTGTTTTCTCACTTTGGGGAATACATTCCGGGAAAGTAATTCCAAAGCAAAAAGTTTTTGCACAGAGATATTTGTGACCACCCCCTACATTACATTCATTGACTGGAAACTGCTCAGCCGTGGGGCACGCAGCTAAGAGACTGTGGTGTGTCAGGGCAATTACCTACTGCCTTTGTGCATGACAACTATGAAAACTATTTAGAAGAATATGTTCTATGATGCAATCATAAGTGAAAAAAAAAGGGGAATTTGGAATTATGATCACTTAATGATAGCAGTAAGGTAAAAGTATGTCTGAATAGCTGCCGAGTGGAAATAGGTTCAAAATTTGTAAATAGTCAGTGATTGGGGAGATTGGGTTCTTTTGAGTTATTTTGTGCTATTCACATAGGTGCATTTTCTGCTTCGGTTAGGATTGTCTGTTAAATAACATATACGCTGGAAGGTTTACTTTCACCTCTAGAAGTGATATTCGAGAATAGCTACTGGATTGGGGAAGAAGATGTCAGAAGGGATGAGACTGTCCTGTCAGAGGAGGCACGGGAGTCAGGAGGGTCCCAGCTGGTTGGGGCCAGTGGGGAGGAAGGGTGGGCAGAGCAGGGGCTGTCTGGCGAGATCAAGGAGCTCACCCTGGGAGGGTCTGCAGAGGTCAGGCGGTCCCCTCAGGGATTGGATCACTGTGGAGCGTCCAGAAGGCAGGGGAAGGTCTTGTTGAGTTCCCCAACTACTTCAGACCAACTGGAAACCAAGTGGAGTTTCTGTAGAACCAGCTAGCGTAGGATGAGTTGCATGGGGTGGGGGGGGGGAGGGGGGTGGTCTGTCTTCTTTGCAGCTCTGTCTGTAGAGTTAGCATAGCGATGGCTCACAATAGGTGCTCAGTAAATGTGAAGTGAATTAATACCTAGAAAAGGGATGGGACAGTGGTAAGACTCTTTCCAGAGATTTCCCACCTCACGTGCCACAGCCCTAGCAAACCAAGTTGTCCAAAACCTTGGCTTGTGGGAAATCTCCAGTAGGGGGCAGCTTGGACACAGTCTACCATATGCCTCCCAGGGGGAGGCTCAGCTCCAGAGTCACAAAAGAGATGAGATTGGGGTGCCCTGCTTATGTGTGTGGAGGGGCATCTAGGGGTCACGGGCTTGGGTTGGAACAACAGTTCTGCAGAGCTGCACAGGGAGCATATGCAGAGGGCCTGGCTGATCAAATGGCTCCAGCCAAGTGGCTTACCCGGGAATGGAGACTTTCAGAAAGGAAATGTCACCTGGCTGCAAGAAGAGAATCGCACAGATGCCCCAGAGATGCAGGAGCCATGTGACATTCCAGGAAGCTGTAAGAATCCTGGGAAGCCGGGCCCTGGAAGATTACTGGAAATATTAAATTTTCCTCATTAAGGGATAGGGGTGGGAAGGCCCAGAAGACCGGCCAGATGTGAACCGGATGGGAAGTATAGCACTGAGCATGAATTTGGAGGTAAAATCCACAGCAGCTTAACTGTGACGCAGGAATCCTGATGAATCCCTCGGAAAACACCACTCAGCGCAAGAGAAAGAGTTCTTGGTTAAACTACAGATGTTAAGAAATGAGGAACATTCGGGAAAGACACCTCCCACCCCACCCCCCACATCGGACTATGAGAGTTTACTTGATCAATGATTCCTTTTCCTGTTTGGGACTTTCCAGGTTGTACGTGTACTGGTGAAAGGAGAGTGGCGTTCGGGTAGAGAGAAAGAGAGTGGACACTCTCTTTCATATTCTTTGCACCTAAAAAAGGAAAGTGAATGAGGTAGCCGAGACCTTGGGTGAGCGCTGGCCCTTCCACTAAATAGCTGTGTGATCTTGGTCCAGCTCCCGAACCTCTCTGCGCCTCAGTTTCTACATCAGTAAGTAGGGATAATAATATCCACCATGCCCACCTCACAGGGGTGTTGCGAGGACTGGGTGAGAAACATAGACAAGTATCTTGTATACCACAAAGGCCCAATCCGAGGTATTGGTTTAGGAGAAAGTTCAGCTGACTTGTACTAACTTGATTCTCTCCCGTCAGCGTGAGCTTGAATGGGGATGTTGTGTACACGTATTGCTCAAGCATGTCTGGGTAGAGTCATTACCCACAAACCATCTTCTTTGGAGGTGGCTGTTTTGTTTTGCTTTCCCGCAGTTATTTGAAGAAGCCATGTTCTAAGACATGACTTAGGAGCAGATGGGACCAATGGCTGGCCGGCTAAGACACAATGCTCTTCCTAAATGCCAGCCGAGAATCAGACTGTACTAATCAAGGACTGATAACTGTAGACATTTAGAAGTTCAGAAGGGCAAGAGCGGCCCCATCTTTGGATAATTTAGAGAAAACATAACTTGGAAGAGAATAGCTCTCCGCTCACTGTAGTCTTACTATTACTGTATCTGTAAAGCCATGCCGTATCATAAATCTACAGAGATAAAATTCCAAGGGGGCAGAAGTCTAAGAGGGAGGTCTGAAATCTTCTGAGGAAATTGGTGAGATTAGTGGCCCGAGCTGGGCGGGGTTCGATAGGGGTGCCAAGATCAAAGCATTTGACCTCTCTCCTTGGCAGGTCGGCTGAGAACTAGAGCTCTCCCGTGAGTCAGGGGGGAGATTGGACTGGGGAACAGAGCTCTGTTTTGGGGAGAGAGCGGTCTTGGACCGGCTGGAGCAGAGAGCTGCTGAAGATGCTCGCAGCAGGAGCAAGACCAAGTTCAGATGCAGGCTTAGGAAAATAGGTAACTTGACCAAAGGTAGCAGGACCAGCCTACCAACTGGATCATGAATATAGTTTAGTTAAATGGATCAGGACAGAGGCAAAAATAGGTCTGGGGACCACAGATGCCTTTGACTGGAGGAGTGGAGAAGGTACAGCAGAGTCAGCCTGGACCTCACCTGAAGCGCAGCGAGGAATCCTTGGGACCAGGTAGAGAAGGGCCTCTGTTTAGAGAGGCGATCAGGAAGTTGGTTTGGGGAGGTTTGGGAAGGCAACCTGACTTGTCTCCGGAGAAAGTTGGAGCCAGTTGGCTTAGCAGCCAAGAGAGACAGGGTTGAAAACGGAGTCGGGGCCTCAGTACCCATGGCGTCAGCCCAGCAAATTTCCCTGGGTTGCCATGGGCTGAAGAATCTGTGCTGTAAACCCTCATTCCTTTGATTGTGTCCTTTGTACCTTTTTTCTGTTTCTTATTAAATTCTTTTGAAAAATTCAAACCTTTTCTCAGATGGGTTCATGGGTATGGGGAACTGCCAACACCCAGGCTTGGATAGCAAAGGGAACCAGGTATGAAGACCACCCTGCCCCCCCCCCACCGTGGCTCCAAAGATGCCAACACGGAGTCCTTGGGGCATTGCAGGAGCAGGGGGACGGGCACAGTCACCATCTGTAGTCCCACCCTCGTCCTGGCTACTCCAGCCTGTAGGACAGAGATGTGCACCTTCCAGGCCAGCCCTTGGTGGGAGCCGCAGCAGGACTGCACTCATGCACGCTCGGGTGGGGTGTGACTGCATGGAGGTGTTGGGGCAGGAGGCGGGCGAGGGGCTCAGGTCAGGCTGGCTGTGCCCACCACATTGGTGTCTGCTTGTTTTCTGGTTTGGGGGAACCAAACCAGCGTCTGTGGACCCCTTCTAGCATGCTGTATTTACCATCCCATGGTGGCCCCTGCAGAGCTGGGGGATATCAGGGTTCTAGGAATATCTGCCTTCTGGCCAAAGCTACGCCCTCCCCCCCCCCCCCCCCCCCCCCCCCCCCCCCCCCCCCCCCTCTGAGCTGTCCGGAGCAGGAAGAGGATTATTTCTACTTCACACAGCCTCTGGCGCCCCATCAAATACAGAGAGCAAATAGCAGTTATCCGGTGCCCGCCCGCCTGCACTTCACACCCATCCACTTCCGGAAGCTGCAACCCCTAAGAAGTAGGGATCATTAATATTCTTCTACAGACAAGGAAACCTGGCGAGGCCTGGTGAGGCTTGCTCAGGATAAACAGTTTCAGATTCTGACTCCAAAGCCGCCCTTCCAAGCAGCTCTGAATCCCGAGCCTGTGTCTCTGTCTCCTGATCCCTTAAGGAGAGAGCTGAACGAAATCAGATCTGAGGTTCCTTCCTGAGTTGACAGAGCAGGCCCCGTCCCCTAACAGGTCCGGAATCTAGATACAGGAAGGGAAGCTCCGAGGTACCCCACACACCCCACCGCCTTTTGTGCCTCCAGCATCCCCCCAGATAGAGAAGGATTGACGACTGAGGAGGGAAGGTTTGAGAGGCCTGGTAGGGAGGCAGAGGGTGGGATCAGAGCCCACCACTGCCGTGGTGACAGCCTGAATAAGAATTCCGCAATTCATCATCTAATGACTCAGCCTGGCTTTGGACTGGCGCCGCTGCGAGCTGGGGAGCATGACTCAGCAGCTGAGGGGCCCGCGTGGGAGATCGCCGCTGTCCATGTGAGCGCCCACTGTGGAGAACGGCTTGTTCCAGCTCCCAACCCCAAGGTGAGCGTCTTCCGCTCCTGTGGTCGGACACACTCGGCCTCGGGTTCCTAGTCAGGTGGCCAAGCCTGCTCCCTCAGACCTGGGTTTCTCCTCCTTTGTATTCGAGAAGTCACAGCCGCAGAGGCCTCTGGGCCGCCTCCTTTCCCTGCAGCCTTGGCTTCTGCAGCAGGATGCTGTGGCCACCGACTCTACAGGTTTCTCTCCCCGTCCCTGCTCTGCTGGGGCCAGGCCAGCCTCCAAGTAAGGGCAGCAGAGGCCACAGGGTAGGAGTGGGGAAGCCGGGACATGTCCCAAGCTGGGCACACGGGTGGACAGGTGGTCACAGCATCGCTCCCAGCTGCTGGGGGTGGGAGAATGGGCCTCTGGGATCTTGATTTTGCTCAAGGGGCAACTCAGAAAATGTCTCTTCCCCCTCACAAATAACAATGTCTATTTTCTCTCCCCGCAATACTGTTACGGACAGTCCATGGCTTACCAGAGAAAACAGCCAAAGTATGCTGAGGTGGGACAGCTTGCGAAACCAGGGAGGGCTGGGCACAGAGGCCACGGGTCAATGTGCAGGGCTCACACAGCCCGCCAGCATCACTTTCTCACCTAGATTATTCACCCGCAGCCCTTTCCTCATCTGCAAAAACCCTCAGGACGAGAACTTCTGATTCACCCTGAGCATTCCTGAGCATAGCCAGGTGTCCGTAATACCTGTCGGTTGAAAGAGCAAATGAGTGAATTTGTGCTAAAACCTAGTCATCGTCATTCATGTCAGAGGCAGCTTTGGGAGGTGTTGGCAAGTCTATCTCAGGAAAGCAGCCCTGAGGCAAAAAGAGGTTATCACTCCTCCTTAGAGGGGAGACGTGAATAAGAGTGAAGTTACCCAAACTGTGGGAAAAAAAGATAGTAATCTCACTCTGCTGTACTTTCTCTTTTGTCCACAGCACTTTACCCTTCTAACATCCTACAGTCCTGCGCCACATAACGATGTTTCGGTCAACAAGGGACCACACACGACGGTGGTCCTACACGATCAGTACCATGTGGCCTAGGTGTGTAGTGGGCTATCCCATCCAGGCCTGTGTAAGTGCACGCTGTGACATTCACACAACGACGACATCGCCTATGATGCCGTTCTTGGAACGCATCCCCGCTGCGACGTATGACTGTATTTCATTTAATCATTTATCCTGTGTATTGCTTATTGTTTGTTTTCTCCCCCAATATCCACCCCGGGTAGAATCCAAGTCCCAGAAGGACAGGGTATTTTGCTGTTTTGTGCACTGATATTTCCTACACCCCAGAATAGTGCCTGGGATGTAGTAGATACTGAATGAATGAATGAATGAATGAATGGTATCTATTGAGCATTGACTCTGAGCCAGGCCCCCTTCTACCTGCTATGGACTTTACATATATTAGCTCACTTGGTGCCCTTAACGGTCCTGGGAGGTAGATACAAGTATCACCCCTGGTTGAAAGATGAGGAGGTAAGGTTGGAGAGATCTGTAACAGAGCAAGAGCACCAGGAGCTGGGCAAGTGGCTGGGCAGAGGCCAGCTCTCCACCCCAACCTGGGGAGGCACTGCACACAGGCCTTCCGGGGAAGCCACACGCCACTTCATCGCTTCTGGTTGATGCTTGCTTTGGTGATGCCTCCTCACCAGCTTTGCACATGACCCCACTCCCCACCCCTCCCAAAGGTTTTCTCTGCCCTGAAGTGTGACTCCTGTTCAACTGGAAAGACTTTTCCTGGCACAGCAGAGCCACCGCGGCCTGGGGCCAGAGCGGGCGACTCGGGAACCTGAGCCTGCCTCCCCCTGCCAGGGACCTGCAGAGCCGGGTGGGGCTGCGCTGAGCCTGGAGCCCGCTCCCTGACATCTCCCTCCCTGCCACCCCACAGACTACGTGGGAGGCTCAGGTCCGAGCCCGGGGAGGGCAGAACTCCCCAGATCACTTTTCTGTGAGATTCCCGCTGCCTGGAGCTGGAACACAGAGAGAGCCCCACCCACCCCAAGGCGCTGGGGCTCCAAGACAGTGTCTCCTCCCCAGGCCAGCTCTGCAGCTCCCAGGCAGGGGTGGCCAGGCCCCAGTCCCCTCCTCTGCCCCAGGCCTCGGTGGCTCTGCTGCCAGGAAAAGTCTTTCCAGTTGAGAAGGAGTCCAGCTTCAGGGCAGAAATATCTTTCAGGGGGTGGAGTGGGGTCATGTGGGAAGCTGGTAGGAAGGGAGATAAAGAAAAGTATTTACCAGACAAGATGAAGTGGGGTGTGGCTTCCCTGGAAGGGCTGTGCTCAGCGCCCTGCCTGAAGGACCTGGAGAGCTGGCCCCGTGGCGGCCACAGCTGGCATTGGCCTCTGTGCGGCCACTTGTTCCCATGTAATCCCTGAAGAAAAGAATGGAGACCCAAGAACGTCAGGAGCAGGGAGAAGGTGCAGAGACCTGAGGGCACACACGTCCATGCTCAGGGACACAGAGGGCCATATGTCTCCATCCAAGGGCTCGGGGAGGCGGCGGGAGAGAAAGGGAAGGAAGCTGGGATGTCTGAGCAACAGCTGGAAGTGGGTCTTCAGAGGAAGAGGAAGCTGGCTTCGGGTTAGTCAGGGAGAATCTGGGTCCAGACGTTGGAGAACCAGGGCCATGTCTCATGTGCGGGTTTCTACATGTGTCTGGGGCTGGGCATCCTCGTGGGTGTTTAGACAAGGGAAGGGGGTGTTCCTCTGTGATCTGTAAGTACACGGGGGTGGGGGACATGCTGTCAGGGTGTTCCCAGGCAGGGCACCATGCCAGCTTTTCCTCATCAAAGAATCAAGACTGGAATTTCCCTGAAGCTCATTTCCTACCATTTAATCCTCAGCCAAGGACCACAGCTGCCAAGTCTGTCCCCCAAGGGCAAACACTGGGTGTGGGCGAGGTGCAGCGCCCCAGGAGTGCCTCCATGCCCTGTCCACCTCTCCACATGGCAGTCAGTCAACGTCCACTCATTGATTCCTCCCCTTGCCCCTGAGACTCTGGGCCTTCTCCCCGTGCCTTCTGGAGACCAAACCCCGCGCTGGGCTGTTTCTTTCCACCCCATGCACCAATCAATCAGTCTACCGTGCAGAAAGTATTTATTGGGCCCCGGCTCTAAGTAACCAGTGCAAACAGCAAATGCAAGAATGCCGGGGGAAGACATGGCCAGCGGGGACAGGCGGCTGGTCACCCAGAGGAGTGGCTTTATCGTGGTTCTTCATCACAGCCCAGCACCTGGTTCTCGACTACCTGTGCGCGCCATGGACAAACCAGTCTTGGAGACAACGAACATGACCTGGATGCGCAAGGAATAGCATACGGAACCAGCATCCTGGCTTATTAATTGACAGACAGAGGCACTGTCCCCAGACACCTGGACACGTTTCTCCTGGGGCCTCAGAATGTAATTACTGAGCATAGAATCAGAACAAGGCCAGGGGTTGGATAATTTTAATGGCTGGATGACAGCCTGAGGCATCCACGCGCCTCGGGACACACCTGTCCCATGGCCTGACCCCTGATGTTGGCAGGACAGGGCACCAACTCTTCTGCACAGCCTGAAGACCCAGAGCCGAGTTGGGTCCCCCTGGATGCCCCCTTTTATTCATTTATTTATTTTTGTGGAAGATTAGCCCTGACCTAACATCTGCCGCCAATCCTCCCCTTTTTGCTGAGGAAGACTGGCCCTGAGCTAACATCCGCACCCATCTTCCTCCACTTTATATGTGGGATG